CTTTAATCTTCCTTCATAGGTAAGGCCTTCCATTCCCTTAATCACTTTAGTTGCCCTTTTCTGCAGCTTCTCCAATGTTATCTTTTTGGGGGTTTTGCCATATTTTTATTTGATTTTTACAAAGTTTACATTCCAGTACATTATTAACATATATTGTAGAGTCTCATACATTTAACATCTCTATCCAATCATACACCTTAGGCCATCTTTTATTATATACTTTTTCGTTTTTGTTTTGCAACATCAAGCTCAGATTGTCCATTCGCGCTAGATCTAACACTTTCACCACTAGTTCCTCCCTAGTCGGTATTATATCTAGTTTCCAGTTTATGGCCAGTAATAAACGGGCAGCGGTTATTATATACACAAGTACATATTTATCCTGCTGGCTATAACCCTTAGGTAGTATATTTAATAAATATATTTCAGGTTCCAACGCCAAATTTTTCTCCATTATTTCTTGAATCAATTTTGCAATGTTATCTTTTTGGAGGGGTGGTGACCAGAAGTGTACACAGTATTCAAAATGAGGTTGCACCATAGATTTACACAGGGGCATTATAATACTGGCTGACTTGTTTTCAATCTCCTTCCTAATAGTCCCCAGCACAGCATTTGCCTTTTTTATTGCAGTAGCGCACTAAGTCAACATCTTCAGTGAGTTATCTACCACAACTCCAAAATCTCTCTCCTGGTCAGTTACTGCCATTCAGACACCATCCACCTATATTTATAGTTAGGATTTTTTGCTCCAGTGTGCATTACTCTGCACTTGCCCATATCGAACCTCATTTGCCACGTTGACGCCCACTCATCCAGCCTAGACAGATCCCTCTGGAGCACCTCACAGCCAATGTTCCCTCTAAGCTGTGGAGTCTTGTGAGCAAAAATCCTACTTGGTGAGCTACTGGCATTAAAGTTGTGAGCGAGCGATTTGGCTACTGCAGAAACTAGTTTGCTCTGGAGCCATCCTTCCTGAGCCAAGACAAGAATGTGTGAGCCAGAGGCTAAAAATCTGTGAGCTAGCTCACACTAACTCAGCTTAGAGGGAACACTGCTCACAGCCCTCCTTGGTTCTCATAGCCCTGAACAACTTTGTGTCGTTTGCAACCTTGGCCACCTCACTGCTTACTCCCAACTCCAAATTATTAATAAATAAAACCTAGCACTGAGCCCAGTGACTCCCCACTGCCTACCACTTTCCACTGTGAAAACTACCCAATTATACTCACTCTCTGTTTCCTCTTAATTAATCAGTTTTTAAACCACAAGAGGACTTGTCCTCTTATCCCATGACTTAGGAGCCGAGAAACTTTATTAAAAGCTTTCTGGAAGTCTAGGTAAACAGCTCTGACTGGGTCACCCTTGTCCACCCCGCAAAAAATCTAAAATGTTAGTGACACAAGATGCACATGTATTTCAAGGACACATCCACCTTGGCCATATCCCGTGCCCTCTCCCACCTGCAGGTCCTGATTCCTGTCCTCCACCTGGCTGAGGAGGAAGCCTTCTGCCAGGGCCACCGCCTGGGAACTGGTCTCCGGCCTGCACTCCCTCACCCAGCTCTCCATCTCCGGGGGCAGGACGGCCAGGAACTGCTCCAGGATCACCAGGTCCAGCATCTCCCTCTTGCTGCGCCTCTCCGGCTTCAGCCACTGGCGGCAAAGACGGTGGAGTCGGCTGCAGACCTCCCGGGGCCCCTCCGCCTCCTGGTAGCCGAAGTGCCTGAACAGCTGGCGCTGAACATCTGGAGGGAGGACGCTGTCCCCCAGGCTCTTCTGCAGGGCTCCTCCCCACAGCTCCCTTCTGCTCCCGGCCCTCGCGGCATCAGGGCCTTTTGCTGCTCCAGGGACAGCGGAGTCCGGCTCTCCCCTCATTCTCCCTTCCTCTCCAAACAGCCTTCCCATGGACCCCGGGATTGTCCTCCTCCTCTGCCAGATCCGTCCAGGGAGTCAAGGACCGGAGCTGGGACCTCAAGCGAAGAGGGAACTCTGCCCATATGCAGAGGGCAGCCGGGGTGGTCTGCAGCAGAACCCCCTGAGGGAGCCCCTGAGAGACCCACCGCAGTTTCCGGGGGGGGGGGGAGCTCTCCACAGTCCAAAGCGAAATCTTGCATGCCAAGTATTATTTGATGACTTTTCTATTTGCCTTTTAAAAATCCTGCACCGACTTCCCTAGCCTGCCTCCCCTCCCCTTCCCTCCGGTCAAACACGCTGGTGACGTCACTGGGCCACTTCAAGGCGACTTTCCCGCAGGTAGAAGTAAAAGGGGGCGTGGCTGTGCCTACTCAAACGGCGTTCCTCCTCTGAGGCCTCTCTAGGAAAGGGGACTTCTTCCTTTTAACCCTTCGAGTGAACCTCCCCCTGCAAGCTTCCGTCCAAGGCCAGGACTGGGGAGCAACTGGAGACCTTGGCCTCCCCTGCTCCAGAGCCTGGAGATCTCCCGGAATTCAGCTGATCTCCAGACCACAGAGATCAGTTCCCCTGGAGAAAGTGGCTCGGATGGAGGGCGGACTCTCTACTATTACAGGCCCCTGAGGTCCCTTCCCAGCCCTCCCCCTTCTCCAGGGGTTTCTTAACCCAGAATTGGGGAGCCTCGTTTCTTTCCTCTAAGGACTGATCTGGAGGTCTATACCTGGTGTGCCTAGAATTGCCTTCAGGATATAGAGAAGCTTCTGGCTTGGCTCACTGGTTTGAGCCACCTAGAGCGTGTCCTATGCATCGACTTTGATTTGTCTTGATGAGGAGGTATTCCCTCCCTCAGATATGCAGCGGAGGGAGTCCGGCTGGAAAAAGTACAAAGGAGTGCAACCAAGATGATGAGGGCATTGGAGCCCCTTCCCTCTGAGAAAAGACTGAAGACTCTGGGACTTTTCAGTTTACAAAAGAGACAGCTAAGGGGGGACATAATGTTGTTGTTGTTGTTGTTGTTGTTGAGTCGCACAGTCGAGTCCGACTCTTCGCGACCCCATGGACCACATCACGCCAGGCCCTCCTGTCTTCCGTTGTGCTCTAGGGTTTGCTTAATTTCATGTTCGTTGCATCGATGACACTGTCTAGCCATCTCATCCTTTGCCGTCCCCGTCTTCTTTGACCTTCAATCTTTCCCAGCATCAGGGTCTTCTCCAGTGAGTGCTCCCTTCTCATTTGGTGGCCAAAGTATTTGAGCTTCAGCTTCAGTCTCTGGCCTTCCAGGGAACAATAAGGGTTGATTTCTTTTAGGATGGACTGATTTGATCTCCTGGCAGTCCAAGGGACTCTCAAGAGTCTTCTCCAGCACCATAGTTCAAAAGAATCTATTCTTTGGCGCTCGGCCTTCCTTATGGTCCCACGCTCGCAGCCATACATTACTACTGGAAATACCATCGCTTTGACCATATGGACTTCTGTTGGCAGGGTGATGTCTCTACTTTTTATTATGCTGCCTAGGTTTGCCATTGCTTTCCTCCCAAGGAGCAGGCATCTTTTAATTTCATGGCTGCAGTCACTGTCTGCAGTGATCTTGGATCCTAGGAACATGAAGTCTGTCACTGCTTCCATGACTTCTCCTTCTATTTGCCAAGGAGTGATGGAGCCAGATGCTTTTTTTATGTTGAATTTCAAGCCAACCTTTGCGCTCTCCTCTTTTACTCTTAGCAAGAGGCTCTTGAGATCCTCTTCACTTTCTACCATTAGAGTGGTATCCTCTGCATATCTGAGGTTGTTGATGTTTTCCCCAGCAATCTTAATTCGGGCTTCTGAATCATCCAGATTCTGAATCATCTCATAATGTACTCTGCATATAAATTAAATAAGCAAGGTTGTCGTACTCCTTTTCCTATGCTAAACCAATCAGTTGTTCCATATCCTGTTCTAACTGTCGCTTCTTGACCCTTATACAGGTTTCTCAAGAGACGTGAGGTGGTCTGGTACTCCCATCTCTTTAAGGACCTGCCATAGTTTGTTGTGATCCACACAGTTAAAGGCTTTAGCATAGTCAATGAAGCAGATGTAGATGTTTTTCTGGTACTCTCTTGCTTTCTCCATAATCCAGTGAATGTTGGCAATTTGATCTCTAGTTCCTCTACCTCTTCGAAACCCAGAAGTACAAGCTGGGGGATGTGATAGAGGTTTCCAAAATTATGCATGGGGTGGAGAGTGTTGACCAAGATAACTTCTTCTCCCTCTCCCAAAACACAAGAACTCAAGGATATCCAATGAAACTGATGGGCAGTAGGTTCAGGATGGAAAAGGAAATGCTTCTTTACACAGAGTGATTAAAATGTGGAATTCACTGCCAGAGGATGTATTGATGGCCACAGGAATAAGCAGTTTTAAAAGGGGATTAGATAGATTCATGGAGGATAAGTCTATCAATGGTTACTAGCCATGGTGACTGAGGGGAACCTCTGCATTCAGAGGCACTAATCCTCTAAATCCGAATTAGGGGAAGGCTTCCGCCTCTATGCTCTGTTGTTGGCCCTCCAGAGGAACTGGTTGGCCACTCTGTGAGACGGGATGCTGGACTAGATAGACTCTTGGACTGATCCAGCAGTGGTATTTTTGTGTTCCAGTGTGTGAGGTGTGTGTTCATAGTCTGACATCATGCACTGCAGTATCAGAACAGCTTTAACTGTATGGTAGCCAAACTTGAATTCTTGCCAGTTCAGCTCACCTTCTGTTCACCAGCTGAGAACATGGAGCCAATTCACTGACACTTCACTGTTTGCATACAGTTCAACCCTGTTAGGGGACTTTTCAAGTACATCATGGTGCAATTGGCAGTGTAATGGGATTGTCACCACTTGCTCAGAAGGTATAAGAGAGCCTGATGGCGGTCCTACATTTCCTCCTCTCTCATAGAAAAGGGTCCATGGCTCAGTGGTAGAGCATCTGCTTGGCACACAGAAGGTCCCAGGTTCAGTCTCTGGCATCTCCAATTTAAGGAAAGACCTCAGCTGGAGACTGGGACAGAGAAACAGACCAGGTATTCAGCTCACAGGGGGATTGCAGCTGTCAAACAAGACATGATCAGCTGTGAAGTTCTGTGTAGGGTTGCCAGACCTTCTGGATCAGCTGGGAGTCTACTGGGATTGATATCACTGCCCAGGCATATGTTGAAAGAAATCCAGGACACTGTGGAATTCTGCCCTTGGTCACAGCAGCTGCAGCACAGCTAGATTGCCCAAATGTAAATGCAGGTGATCTGGCAGTTGTGGTGGCCCTGTCTGCTGGTATGGGAACACTAAACTTCCCCCTCCCCCTGGAATAGGTTGTGAGTAATTTCTGAAAACCCTGCAAGTCTATTTGACAAGGAGCAAGAGAAAGAAACCTGTGTGTGTCCACTGTAGAAAAAAAAAAAACCCTCTGTCAAACCACTTCTCATACCATTTTCAAAAGTAAGTCTCTATCCAGTTTTTTGGGACAAGTCTCACTCCCAGATTAATTATTCCAAACTAACCACCCCTCACTTTCTCTCTCTTGGCCTTCTGATGGCTTTAAGAGGTTTCTTTTGACCCAGGTATTTTACTGAGGGGCTCCATTTAAGGTCTAATCTTGGCTGGAGGATTCTTAACAGGTATGCTTTAGGCTGCTCAATGTTTGCTTGATATGTTTTCTCCTGCCTTGCTCATAATTGCCAGTTTAAAGGTAAAGGTAAAGGTTCCCTTGCTCGAAAGCCAGTCGAGTCCGACTCTAGGGTTGCGGTGCTCCTCTCCGTTTCAAAGCCAGCGCTGTCTGAAGACATTTCCGTGGTCATGTGGCCGGCATGACTAAACACCAAGGCGCACAGAACGCTGTTACCTTCCCACCGAAGTGGTACCTATTTATCTACTTGCAATTTCTTGCTTTCGAACTGCTAGACTGGCAGGAGCTGGAACTAGAGACGGGAGCTCACTCCGTCATGCGGCACACTCGGGTCTCGAACTGCTGAACTACTGACCTTCCACAGCCTGCAGTTCAGCGTCTTAACCACTTGAGCCAACCGCAGCTCCTAATTGCCAGTTTAATTTGGTTTAATTCTTTAGTGGTGACCTGCTTTGACTGAGCCTCTGGAAAGGGGGAATATACATTTTCTAAACAAAGCAGTAAGTCATTTCCTAACCAATGGGGAAATCACAGCATGACTACAAGTGTCTAAAAGTGACCTGAAGTTTCTCACTGATGGAAGAAAAAGGTAGATGAGTGAAGCTCCAGGAAAGATCACAGAGTGGCATGGGTGAGAGGGGAGACTGGAATAGCTGTTAAGAGGGTAAACAAAACTGAAATAATAGCCAAGCTGGACTCTGGAGTACATATTTGTAGTGGTAACTGAAACAATTGTACAGGCTGTACACTTTAATTGAAAGCATGAAGGATCATACAGTCTATTCAGTAGGATTTAAAGATATGTTGGATCCTACTGAGTTTCCTGTCAGCAAAAAACAAGAAAGAAAGCAATCATAAATAGATCTACTCAAAAACTTACTCAAGTTTCTTCCACAGGGCTTACTTCCAGGAAAGAAAAACAAAACAGCATTCACAGATACTGGAGTGCTAACTGAATAATAAGCATGGACGTCACTCTCTCTCTCTCTCTCTCTCTTTCTAGGCCAGTTTGGTGTAGTGGTTAGAAGCGCAGATGCTAATCTGGGAGATCTGGGTTTGATTCCCCACTACTCCACATGCAGCTGCTGGTGTGACCTTGGGTCAGTTACAAGTTATTTCAGAGCTGTTCTCTCACAAGCAGTTCTCAAAAGAGCTCTCTCAGCCCCACCTACCTCACAGGGTGTCTGTTGTGGGAAGGGGGAAGGAAAGGGATTATAAAACGCTCTGGGACTTCTTCGGGTAGTGAAGGTTGGGGTATAAATCCAGTCTCTTCTTCTCTTCTTGTACCTTACACACACACACACATCCCCCCCCCCGCTTCTATCTAAGGCATTCCATTTGTTTCAGCTGTTTTGTTTTTTAATTGGGTTTTATTATTTCAGTTGTGAAGTTTCTTGTGCAGCTTTCTGGAGAAGAGGCATATCAATTCTCTAAATAAAGTAATAATTTCCTACTGAGCAAAGATATCAGAGTTTGCCTACAGGTAATTAGCAGATACAAGGAGATTCTGAGCACAAAAACTCCAGCTGCTGAGTGAACATTTCTTCTGTGTCCCATTCTTCTGGTTCTTTTGACAGGAAGCAAAGTTGTTCCCCCACTTGGATCTCATATTTCTATGTAAGGTCAGGCTTGTGGCTAAAGCTCTTCCACACTGGGAGCATTTATGCAGGTTTTCCCCTGGTCCATGGGGTCGCGAAGAGTCGGACTCGACTGTGCGACTGAACAACAACAACAAGACTGTGTTTTCAAAACCCAGGAAGTAATTCTGATGGAAACCTTTTCCACACTCCTAGAATTTGTATAATTTCTCCCATGTAGGTTCTTTGATGGTCAGTAAGGCGTGAGTTGTTTCTGAAGTCCATTTCACACTCAGGGGTCATTTCCTGCAGGAGCACACAGGAGCGGAGCTCCAGCAGTAAAGAGCCCAGAGGGTGGGCACATGCAACAAGCCCCACCCTCTGCTCCCAGCAGCCCTCAGTCAGAGCAAGAAGCAGCCAGGTAAGTTGCAGAGCCCCCCTGGCCCCCCAGTCCAAAACAGTCCAGTGGCACCTTTAAGACCAAGTTTTATTCAGGTACAAGCTCTCCCTCCTCTGAGAGGACAGATCTGCACATTCCCCCCAATAGCTAGCAATCCAAAATAGTTCAGTGGAGCCTGAGTGGTGGCTGTTGCCTTCTGACACACTTCCAGTAATGTCAGGGTGTGTGGCATATGCAAATAAGTTATGCTAATGAGCTCCTGCACCTCTTTTTCTACAAGATGACCCCTGTTCACACAGCATTTATATGGTTTCTTCCCTGTATGAAATCTTTGATGGGCAATAAGTCTTCTGCTGTAACTGTGAGTCTTTCCACACATGGAGCATTTACTTCTTCCCTGTTTAGACTCCTTGAAAGAAATTAAGTATTGCATTCACTGTAAAGGACATTGTGCAAACCAAGCATTCATATGGTTTCTCCCACGTGGATTCATGGATGAGTATTAAGGGTGTGACTGAGTAATGCTCTTTCTACAATCCAAACATTTATACAGTTTCTCCCCTGTGTGGATTCATCAATGGGAAGTAAGTTTGTCTCTCCAAGCAAAGCTCTTTCCACACTCTTAGCATTTTTATGGTTTCTCTCCTCTATGGATTCGTCCATGAGCAGTAAGCGTGTCACTCCGAGCAAAGCTCTTACCACATTCCAAACATTTATAAGGTTTCTCTCCTCTGTGCATATGCCAGTGGGCAGTAAGGTTGTCTCTCCGAACAAAGCTCTTGCCACACTCCAGACATTTATATGGTTTCTCCCCTGTGTGGATTCGTTGATGGCCAGTAAAGGCTCCCTTTGAAACAAAACTCTTTCCACACTCTAAGCATTTATATGGTTTCTCCCCTGTGTGGATCTGTCGATGGGAAGTAAGGTTGTCTCTCCGAGCAAAGCTCTTTCCACAGTCTGAACATTTATATGGTTTCTCACCTGTGTGGCAACGTCGATGGACAGTAACGCTGGTACTGTGAACAAAGCTCTTTCCACAGTCGAAGCATTTATAAGGTTTCTCTGCTGTGTGGATTCGTCGATGGGCACTAAGGTTGTAACTCCGAGCAAAGCTCTTTCCACACTCCAAGCATTTAAATGGTTTCTCCCCTGTGTGGATTCGTTCATGGGCAGTAAGGTTGTCTCTCCGAGCAAAGCTCTTTCCACAGTCCAAGCATTTATATGGTTTCTCCCCTGTGTGGCTACGTCGATGGGCAGTAACACTGGGACTGTGAACAAAGCTCTTTCCACAGTCTAAGCATTTGTATGGTTTCTCCCCTGAGTGGGTTCGTTGATGGGTACGAAGATTGTCACTCTGAGCAAAGCTCTTTCCACACTCAAAGCATTTATATGGTTTCTCTCCTGTGTGAATTCGTTGATGGGCAGCAAGGTTGTCACTCCGAACAAAGCTCTTCCCACACTCAAAGCATTTGTATGGTTTCTCCCCTGAGTGGATTCGTTGATGGCCTGTAAAGGCTCCCTTTGAAGCAAAGCTTTTTCCACACTCTAAGCATTTATATGGTTTCTCCCCAGTGTGTATATGCCGATGGGCAGTAAGATCAGCACTCCGAACAAAACTCTTTGCACAGTCCAAGCATTTATACGGTTTCTCGCCTGAGTGGATACGTTGATGGGCAGTAAGGTAATTACGCAGAGCAAAACTCTTTGCACAGTCCAAGCATTTATATGGTTTCTCCCCAGTGTGCATATTCTGATGGGCAGTAAGACTGGCATTCCAAACAAAGCTCTTGCCACACTCCAAGCATTTGTATGGTTTCTTAACTGAGTTGATTTGTCCATGGATAGTAAGGTTGTCACTCTGATGGAAACTCTTTCCACAGTCTACGTATTTATACGGTTTCTCCCCTGTGTGGATTCTCGAGTGTGTATCAAAGATCTGGGATTCAGCACCCTGTGGAAAAAAGGATTCATTTCCCCTCTGCCATTCTGTTGCAGTGTTTCTTCTTTTCTCTTTTTCTTCCAACAGGAACTCTTGTGGTTTTCCCTTGGACTTATTCTGGGGACCAGCAACCTCTGCAATAAAGAAAGAAGACTATCAAGGAAAGAAGTGTGTTAACTGCTCTCAATAATGACAGGACAGAAACAACTCCAATTGGAGACAAATTTTGTCACATATTAATTGGCTTCTGATTCTTTCTTGGGGGGTAGTTCCATAAGAGACAAGGGAATTCAGCGCAACCTCCATGTTAAGATATCTCTCTGAAGGCTGGTTGCGAGGAGGGCAATCCCAGGGGGAGGGATTTGGCTCTGCTTCTGAACCTTTCAGGGACTCCAGTGAGCCACACTGGCATATGAGAGGCTGGACTAGGAGGGACCTCTGGAAAATCTCTTCCTGTATTCAAGCACATTATAGAGCAGCTACTGCTGGACAGACAGGGTGGAGCAGGGTTTTACACCTGAACTATGGCAACCCAAGCTGAGCTCCCCCTCTTGTACAGTGCACTGGACTGTTCTCGAGCCAATCACTCTTTTTCCAGAGTTTTCTGCACCACAGGGTCATTGTGCAGGTAAATGGAAGGACCTCACAAATGATGCTCCAACTCCTTAAAGCAAGGAGAAGGATGAGAATGAACATTAATGAACAAATAAAGAAAAGAGCAGCTGCCCCCACCCCCAGCACATCAACGGCCTGGACTCTCCACAACTCCAGTCCAAGCTTCTCTCTCTGAAGCATCACTGCTTATCAGAAGAGGTGTTAGTGGTCTAGATGGACCAACTGGGGCACCTTTCCTTGGTGCTGGTTCTCACCTTTAATGCCCCAAATGGGTCCCGGGTACTGCTGTCCCCTCTGTTACGTTCTGCCTCCCAAACCCTGCTCTCTGTACCCCTACATTCAGGGCTAGGTAGTCACCAGCGACAGGGCATTTTCAGTGCTGGTCCCTCAAAAGCATGCCTGCAGCCTACCTTACTGTCTTATGCAGCAAGATTAAAATGTGGAATTTGCTGCCAGGAAATATAGTTAGGGCCACAAGTACAAACAAATGTAAAATAAAGAGAAGAGATTGGATTTATATTCCACCCTTCACTACCCGAAGGTGTCTCAGAGAGGCTTACAAACTCCTTTCCCTTCCCCACAAGAGACACCCTGTGAGGTAGGTGGGGCTGAGAGAGCTCTTGACAGAAACTGCTCTTTTTCAAGAACAGCTCTTATCAGAGCTACGGCTTGCCCAAAGTCATCCAGCCAGGTGCAAGTGGAGGACTGGGGAATCAAACCCGGTTCTCCCAGATTAGAGTCCGTGCACTTAACCACTACACCAAACTGGTAATAGTAAAAAGGGGATTGGATAGGTTCATGGAGGATAACTCTATCAGTGGCTGCTAGGCATGGTGACTCTGGGGAACTTCCACATTCAGAGGCACTAATCCTCTGAATCCAAGAGCCAGGAGGCATAATTAGGAGAAGGTCTTGGCCTCCATGCCCTGTTGTTGGCCCTCTAGAGAAACTGGTTGCCCACTGTGTGAGACAGGAGGTTGGACTAGATGAACCACTGGTCTCATCCAGCAAGGCTCTTCTTATGTTCTTATCTTTGAAGCGTCAGGCTAAATCATTTGTTTTCAGCTGGGCTTTAAGTTAGAGTGGCCTTTATCTTTTCAATTGTTTTGTGGTCTGCTTATCTCTTGAGGATGGTTCACTGTTCTTATGCCCTTGGCTTCTTTAACTTTTAATTTTGATTATGTAGTGAACACTGTTTTATGGCGTTGTTGATTTTTGTGAGCTGTCTCAAACAGGTATCTGGAGAGGCAGCATATAAATAAATCCATGTGGAATAAAGCTCAGCATTGTCTGAACGTTTCCACCCAAGCTGAAGTACAAACAAAGCCAGCCTTCTTGTCCTCGTTTCAGCTTCTCTTACAACATTTGAGAACACTTTCACAGACATTCTCCGGCTGTTTCCTCACAAGGAATCACTCCGTTTTCCAGTAGGTAAAATAATTTCAAAAGGAGTCCTACCCTCTTCCAAGACAAAAGGAAGCAGATACCTGCTGATCTCTTTCTTTCTTCTGGGTTTTGGAAAAGCAGATTTCCAGCATCCAGAACTGTGGATACGGAGTCAGGTTGAAGAAGAAGAAGCGTTTCTTTGGGGGAAAGAAACAGGCCAGTTATTTCCACGTATTCATATTTTAAACCGACCTATATGAACCCCATAGGGCTGTGGTGGCTCAAGTGGTTAAGATGCTGAACTGCAGACCGGAAGGTCGGTAGTTCAGCAGTTCGAGACCTGAGTGCCGCATGACGGAATGGGCTCAGATCTCTGGTTCCAGCTCCTGCCAACCTAGCAGTTCGAAAGCAAGAAATTGCAAGTAGATAAATAGGTACCGCTTTGGTGGGAAGGTAACAGCATTCCGTGTGCCTCGGCGTCTAATCATGCCGGCCACATGACCACGGAGATGTCTTTGGACAGTGCTGGCTCTTCGGCTTGGAAATGGATATGAGCACCACATCCCTAGAGTTGGATTTGACTGGCTTTTCAGAAAGGGAAACCGTTACTATATGAACCCCATCCCCTCTTAATGGAAAATCCTACCATGCCAAATTTGTAGGCTCCTGAAACATGTATGCAATGGGAAGGGCCTGCAAGACGGAGCTCTTCCGCCAGGCTTTTGAGTAGGAGCCGCCGCCGCCACTACCACCACCGTGTGACTGCAGAGCAGTTCCGCCACGTCGGGCTGACTGGCCAGCTGAAATATGGCCCATGGCATCCCCCCCCCTTTTTTGACCCCCATTGGGATTTGCAATAGGGAGTAAGTATTGTAGTCATTATGTATCCTGTGAGATGTGCATTTTTGCCTAAACTGTTTTAACTGTTGACTTTTACTGCACTTGTGCCTTAATTGTTTTTAACTTGTATTTTTATCGCACTTTTGTGCCTGTGTAAGCCGCCCTGAGCCCGCGTGCGGGGAGGGCAGGGTATAAATGAAATAAATAAATAAATAAATAAGAGAGGGTGCTACTGCCTGGATCCAGAAGGATCCAGTGGCCTAACATGGAGGAGAAGGGGACTTCTGCACAACAAAGAGAAGCCTTAGCCCAGAAAACCACCAGATACAGTTAGCTTAGCCCTCTTCAAAGGCACACAAGATTCAACATCCCAGTCTGTTGCCATCTAATGTGGCTCTGATGAAGGGCCTCTGTCTAAGGGCTCCTCTCCCTTTGAAGAGACACCTCAATTAGGGCTGCCAAGTCTCGTTGAATCGCGGCGGGGGATCGTCATTCTTTACAGGAGCTCTGCCGCGGGGGATGGCAACAGGCGTTGCACCGCCGTCACCAGGATGTGACGCTACGCGTCGCTCTGGCAACGGGACTCCAAACAGCCCTGTTGCCAGAGCGACGCGTAGCGTCACATCCTGGCGACGGCAGTGCAACGCCTGTTGCCATCCCCCGCGGCAGAGCTCCTGTAAAGAATGACGATCCCCCGCCGCGATTCAACGAGACTTGGCAGCCCTAACCTCAATCCTACCAGTAAAAAGACTCTAAAATCCTACCAGGTTAGGATAAGGTGGTGATGGATTCACAAAATGCCAAATGCTTACTAGGAATCTCTAACTTGTTTTTAAAAGTTTTCAATCTGATTCCTCTGTGTAGATTATTTTTTATCTCACCCTTCCTTGAAGGAGCTCAGAATAGCCCATGAGGTGGCCCAGTTGAAAAGTCTCCATTTTCGCTATTTTCCCCTTGCCTCTCCATGGCCAATCACCTGTTCAGTCCTCAAGAGTGCTTTAGGGGAATGATCTTTTCAGTTTACAAATTCTCCTGTTCACTTAAAAACTAATACTTGTGGACTAGACTACACGTGCAGAAGTCTCTCCCTTGCTTGCACTCCACTCCGCTAATGACAGTCCCTTCGAGAAGAGCCCTACAGTCCTTCTTAGAAGGAGCCATTTCTGCCTTCAGCACCTGTGAATCAAGGGACGGGAGCCTTACCCAGAGAGGCCACAACCTGACGATTGTCCTCCATGACTTCCTTGTGAAGGATTCTTTCGTCCGGGTCCAGCAGAGCCCACTCCTCCTCCGTGAAATGAACAGACACCTCCTCAAAGGTCACCAGACCCTGAAAAGAGACAAAAAAGGAAGCTCTTTCTCCTCATGCTAATGTAGCAATTCTTTCCTTCTAAGGTCAATAAATAAGGACTGTGGTTAGATGCTTTCATAAGTACCTTCATTTTCTGTACAGTGAGGAGGACAGCAGTGAAAGGAAAGAGGAATAATCTCTCAGGCCTAGGGAGAGGTGGGGGGAGTGGGCGTGATCCACAGTTCCACATTTACCTGCTCCGGCTTCACAGAAGCTGCTTTGATACAAGCAGATGGTAAAGAACACACCACCGGTTTCATTGCAGCACCTGTGAAGGAAAAAAGGGTACTTGGAAGACATTCTGTCTTTTCCATTTCTGTTCCCTCAGCAATGGGAGAAATATATCCACTGTATATTGGCTTATGGGCATAATTCAAGATGCCGGTTCAGACACAGAAATACTTGTTCAAGGAAAGAGTACCATAAATTGTGAAGCTGGAGTGCAGCATCTTTTGCACACAATACTGAGATTCTTAAAAGCAGCCTGTCTGCATTCAAGATAACATCTACTGGGAAAGACACCCCTTTCAATCTTACCTGGAAAAGTTGCTCCAGGGTAACGTTCCTGCATGATCCATTCCTGCCCCTGAAACAGAAGGGAGGACCCCAGAAACGGGAGACTGATTAGAAAAGGAAGAGGAAACAAGGTGTGAAGAGGTTCTAAAAAAGTTGTGGTCATCCACATGTATTTCGAGGGTATATCCTTGGCCGTATCCTGTGCCCCCCTCACCTGCTGGTCCTGATCCTTCTCCTCTGCCTGGCTGAGGAGGAAGCCTTCTGCCAGGGCCACCGCCTGGGAACTGGTCTCCGGCCCGCAC